GTTACGATACTGTTGTCAGGTCATTAAAGATTGCATATTTTGGCGTTAATATTGATTCACTTATAGGGTCTTTGCATCGGCACTAAACACATTTATTTAAAAACCAGTTGTTGGCATGACACGGGTTATGTTCTTCTCATATATGTTATGATGGTATGATACTAAACCCCTAACGGGAAGGATTGTGCCTGATATTCATATGATGAAGACATAATCTTTCAATCAGTTTAATTGAAGTCTGGAGCTGGCATGTCAGTTAACTGCTAGTAGTCTGTTGTTATTTATGTATTATTGTCATTTTGTTTATTTTCTTTGGTTACATCTTCTGACATCAGACTCGGACTTCTCTTGAACTGAATTTTAATGTGCGTATTGTTATGCGTTTACTTTTCTACATTGGCTAGAGGTATAGGGGGAGGGTTGAGATCTCATAAACATGTTTAACCCCGCCGCATTTTTGCGCCTGTCCCAAGTCAGGAGCCTCTAGCCTTTGTTAGTCTTGTATTATTTTTAATTTTAGTTTCTTGTGTACAATTTGGAGTTTAGTATGGCGTTCATTATCACTGAACTAGTATATATATTTGTTTAGGGGCCAGCTGAAGGACGCCTCCGGGTGCGGGAATTTCTCGCTGCATTGAAGACCTGTTGGTGGCCTTCTGCTGTTGTCTGTTCTGTGGTCGGGTTGTTGTCTCTTTGACACATTCCCCATTTCCATTCTCAATTTTATTTCACAGTATTCAATTCTCAATTTTATTTCACAGTATTCAATTCTCTTTAAAAATATTATTCCTATCCTCCAAGCTTAAGACTTTATACAATGGGAAAAAAGTTGCTTCAAAATAAAAAAAAGAAATACCCCTCCCCCAAACAAAATGAACAATAGTATTTCTATGAAAGTACGTTTATTCGTGGGGTACCAATTTTCGTGGTTTTCGTGGATGGCTTTATCCACGAATTTAACTGTCCAACGAATATAATAACTGTTGTCCAATTCCAGACATGGAAAGATCCCCATGTAGGTTTGATTACATGGATACGGTCATATAAACCAACGTACTTTGAACGAAATATACATTTTTTTTGTACAACTTCAGACCGGATTTTACCCATTTAATCTTTAAAAAATCTAAAATGTACGCTGGTTAACATTTTAATTCTCATGAGAAATAATTTTTTATCGATGAAAGTCAGATATCCGTTGATGATATGCGATAATGAAATGTTTCTTTTTTCATAATTCTCATACGAAAAAAAAATACTGATTTCATTTTGGGCTTGCTTTTTTATGTCATAATAATTGATTCTACAATTCAAAATACCGGTATTATGAATTTGTTATTAATGAAGAACGAACAAGTGAGTGAAAATGAACACCTTGTTTAACAATGCACCACAAATCATTATAAAACAATATATGATTAATATCACGAATATTCGAGTCTGAAGTCTTCAAATTCGTCACTTGATTTTTTTTTTCTTCAGAAAACTAAAATCCACGAATTTAAGAACCCACGAACATGTAACTTTTGCTGAAACCACGAAAATTGATACCAACGAATAAAAATACTTTCACAGTATTCAATTCTCTTTAAATAATTCATCAGTTAGGAAAGGACCATTCAACTTAAAAAAAAAAATTTTCTCAACAGAATAGAGAACATACAGAAGTCATGCTCAGATAACACGAGCAAAATATTATTGTGAAAGTATTAGATTCTGAAGAAAAAAATCTGTTACAAAGAGCATGATCGATAAAGCATTTTCTTCAACCCTTCAGTAAAAAAAATACATTTGATGAATGGTTTAGTCTTATCACGTGGCAACGCAAGTTAAAGATTTAACACGGTAAAATTGATTAGTGTACAAATTATTTTGCGATCACCAATATAGCTTACCTGTATGATTTGTAGTCGTACTCGTACTCGGACTCGGAGTCGGGTAATTATTGTAAATCTCTTGTACAAAGATCAAATTAATGGAACAAAATCTTCTACAGATACTGTACTTTTTTTCATTTATCAAACTGATAAAAAATAACTACCAACAACAAAAGCCCATGCTTTGTATTGTACTACCGGGAAAAAAAAAAGCGAATTGATATTCTCATAATAAAAAAAATGTGTGGACTTTAACGGTGTTTTTGTGTGGACTTTAGCAGAACTTGTTATTGTGGACTTTAACGGCGTTTTCTTGTGGACTTTAGCGGAGGTCATTTTGTGGACTTTAGCGGAAAGTTTGTGGACTTTAGCGGCGTTGTGGACTTTAGCGGAAATTTGTTGTGGACATTAGCGGTGTTGTGGACTTTAGAGGAATTTTGGACTTTAACGGTGCCACAATGCATTACAAACCAGAAACAAATCTGGGTGAGAAATACCACCTTTTATCAAATTCATACAGGTGGACACAATCTATTTACTTGTGGTAATATTTCTTTTCAAGATTTAACCAATCTAGGAAACCTATGTCCCACTGTAAAAGTGTTTTGCTAAATGAATCTGAGACCTCACTACAAACACGCGCATATCGAATGCTTATCCCACAACAGATAGAAAAATTAACAATATCAACGTAAATTTTTAATTAAAGTCTATCATTATAAATTTTGATATGAACATTAATACAATCAATTCCAATGTGAAGGTCTTAAATAGATATTGGTAAAATAAATTTACTTTGTAAAGTTAGAAAGATCTAGATTATTTACATATACAAACATAATTATATCAAATTATTATTCACTTGGGCCTTTCTAAAGTAAAGAAATGAATCATAACAATAAATCTACAATAGAAGGGGTACAGTTAGTCCCCATTAGGATACCATGTTCGATTAGTGTATATTTTGTACGTTTTACTACTGAAATAAAACAGTTGAAACGACAACAGAAATATTCACACACAGACTTATCGGAAGACCATTTCTATTTGATAAAATCATAAGGAAACGTAGTATATAGAGTAGTGAAAAATTACTTTCAAAGGTACGTCGCTTATCCAAGAACCACAAACATTTTTTTTTAAACTTCAGAAATAGTTTATAACGCTCTAAGCATAGGTTTAGTAAGACTATCTGATAATGAACTCCTTAACGGTTGTAAGAGCATTAGTCAAAAGAAGCGAAACATGCAGTAGTTCGACAGTTACTGGATGCGGATATAAAATTTTGGAAGCCGTTACATAGTGGGAACCTTGTGATGCTCATTAGCAAATTTACCAAAAAAGTCGTGAATGAAACGTGTTCATCTACGATTAATTCTTCAAAAACCTTTTTTCAGAAATCTGATTATTTATATGAGTTGGTAGGTTCACGGCATTGCAGATAAAAATAAATAGACACTTTTCGGATATATACTAGATTTTAAATTACGTTTGTAAGGTGAAAAATGAGACACTGAAACAAACAATTCATAATTGAAACTGTTGAACGTATGTATAACTTCATACTTTCAACAGTTTCGATTTTTGTATTCCTCACAACTTTTCTGGGATATTTTTTTAGTTAAGAGTAAACCTTTAGTTAGCGAAATTGCCATCGTGCGAACAAACTCTAGTATGGGACATATTGTAGAGGAGAAGGTACCTGCTCAACTTGTGGCACACGTGTCATCCTAATTGAGGTATATAGGTCCTCGAAATATTTTAACACATCGAAAGATAGTTAAACTACATGAAAGTAAATAAAAATTTGAATCAAAGATTCACCAGCATTCCGTCCCCCCAAAAATGTTATAGTAAACAGCCACAGTCACTGATGATCTTTTATTAACCGTCAGTCTTCAGTTTCTATGTATATTTTGTGAACTTTGTCTTTTTGTCGTCTTTCGTTTTTTTTTATGCGATGGCGTTGTCAGTTTTACTGCGACTTATGAGTTCCGAATGCCCTCTTGGGATCTTCTCTTTTCTTTTTTATTTAGATATTGCATGGTTGTTTGGCAGGAACATCGGATATAAGTGTAAGGTTTATGGTTTCACGAAAAAAAAACAAGACAATCTATATCTTATATTTTATAATGTTGGTGTGAAGATTTAAGATAGCTGCTAGGTTGCTGTAAGAATCGGGGAAAAAAATCCGCTCGAAGACGGTGGAATCATTACTTGCTTAACTATGAATCCCAGTTTGCCATGTATTTATTCTGAAATTTGATGTGAAAAAATATCAGTTAGGCGTAAAAAAAGAGAAATTTTAATTATCTGGCAACATCGTTAATTGTGAGGCAGTCTATTGACAAGGACGGTCAAACATGGCTGAAATTAAAATTTTCGTAATGCTATCATCTTACTAAAATTCGAATTTTGCAAAACTAAGGTTCCAACAACACCAGGCAAAATTGACCTTAAATGGATTTGGCAGTATTCTTTAGGTCCCTTTTAGACCACGTGGCTCTTCACGTGTGTAGGTAGTTGTATACCCTTGCCTTTCGATATTTTGGTATGAGCGTTCCTGGTGAAGGTAAACCCAGAAAAACGCTTTGAACGCAACAAATTAATAGAGCGTTATTTTCATTTCTATTTTACCAACAAAACTATATTGATTGATCTATCCTCAAAGACGGAGCTCCAGTTTTTGGTCCATGACGTTGGACAGATTTTAGAAATGACATTTATTATATACTTTAATCTATTATAGATATATATTATCACTGAATATAAACATTTGTGAATTTTTTTTTAAATGTATGCTTGTTTTTGTATTCTGCGTGTATTTTGACATCGTATCTGTTTTTTTTTTTAAATCTAGTTGTTGCTTTTAAATGTGTCTTCAATAATAATAGTCTTGTACGTAAAAACAGCAATGAGCGATGGAGTCTGTAGGAAGACAGGAATGCAAAATGATTAGAACAAAGTAATGATATGAATATAATATAACAAAGAACAAGTACTAAAAATAGTAATGATGGAACTAAAATACATATAATGCAATTAACCCTAAAATTAGTCAGTACAAAATAGACAACATGTGTGTAACACCTGACAATGTGGTTAAACTGGACATGCCGGTGGTCATTTAAGACAGTACTTGTGATGGATTGAGAACTGTTGACCAAAACATGTCCATATAAAATAATATGATAATGTAATAAAATCATCTTCTTAATATTAAGTCAGCACCAGAAAGGTAAGTTATTGTCTTTTACATACTAATTTTAAATGAAGGTATTGTATATTGTACTGTAATAAAAACGCATTTTTCATTTCAATTATAACTGGAGATATGAAAATAAATAACTTATTTTGTTTTCAGAATTATTTCCGAACTAACCTAAAATGAATCTAAATCATTAGGAGGATAACAAACTACAGTTTGGGTAAAGAGCAATATTGATGGATTTGATCCACAACAAAATCAAGTCTCAACATTTCGCATAGCATTAATACACTGAGTTGATTAATAAAGGCAACAGTAGTATACCGATGTTCAAAAGTCATAAATCGATTGAGAGAAAACAAATCCGGATTACAAACTAAAACCGAGGGAAACACATCAACTATAAGAGGAAAACAAAAGAACAACAGGAACACTGAAGTGCAACAAAAACAAACGCCAACATACATAGAAACGAACTATTTGATAACAACTGCCATATTCCTGACTTGGTACAGGATTACATTGTCGATTTAAGTTATCTTCAATAATGAGAGTATATTGAGCTTCCGCGTGAACAATGTATAATAAATACGTAGTTACTTCTGGTCTGATTTGGAACTGTATTAAATATACTAGTATGTAAGAGTATGCTATACTTTTGTATAGGGATGTGAGTTTTGAGGGCGGGGTGTATCGATACAAAAGCATTGTCAAATTTTGAACTCCACTATTCATAGTTGATCGGTACTGAAATGACCTTTTAAACAAGCGTTTGGACGCTGACAGTCAATCAAAAAATGTTCATACGCCAGAGGATCTTTCGAAGAAAATTTCCCCAAAAGTAGGCAATATATGTATAAGGACATTGAAAGTTTTCACCGGCTTGCATGAGTTACATATAGGTTTTATACATGTGGTATGAGGAATTTCGTACACAATTTTTTTTTTATTTTCCGAAAGACACATTGTGTATATAAAATGTTATGTAGTTATTACCGCTGGACAATAAATATCAAAATACCATTGTTTATTAATCTATCATTTAATATTTGTTAAACATTTTACAGAACAAGATGAAAAATTTGAGGCTATTTACAATTATTCTCCTCATAGCAAACGCACAGATTATATCTGCTCAGAGTAACTTCGTCCGAGGACTTGTTCTTGGCGGTGTTGGCGGTTTTCTCATTAACAGAGCAATTGGAAATAACAGACGAGGACTCGGTGGATTCGGCGGAGGACTTTTGGGAGGTGGACTCGGTGGAGGACTTTTGGGAGGTGGATTCCGTCAACCGTTTCCACTTTTCAATTCAGGTCGCCGTAATGCCAGAGGATTTTCGCCATTTTTTTGTAAGTTTTTAAATAGCAGTACAGTGTTGACTCGTATGGCTTTATCTGCACTTAATATCACTATGACACAATTCTTGCACAAATACATAGTGGTATAACAATGTCAGTTTACTCGTCATTTATTCTCAAACGTTTTGAATGTTTTACCTTTTTGGAGTACTTAAAATCAGTGTGGCTATGTTTGCTTTGATTTTTTGAATATACGTCTGAATTTTTCAGTATTTGATATAATTCTAGTCCGTTCTAGTCAGATTCATTATTTCATTTTATTTTGTATTTTTGACAGTTTATCATAAGTTTTCAAACTGTCTTTGCATGTATATTATTATTTTATTTTATTTTTGAACAGGAATAATGTTATCTGAAGATGTGCGTTAAGACAATCCCAGAGTAGTCACACCAGTTTGAACTCTGTGGAATGGATGATTACACCTTTGTTTCCATCAGGATGTTTTCTAGACTGTCACGTAAAGCAAGTTGATATGTTTTGCATAATAAAAAGACGAAGCAATGACAAAGTCTTTGATATCATTATAAGAAAAACCCCCAAAAAAATCGGATCAAAATACAAATAAGAGGTGAACTATGGCATTACACGGTTAAGATTTTGAGAAGGTTTAAATAAATTATATTAAGGGGTTTACAGAAAGTTGCGGATACAAATTGGGAACCTACATAGAAAAAGCAATGGCAAAGTTCATGATTTGGGATGGTAAACCCCAAAAATAATTCAGGTAAAAAAAAAGAGAGGTGCACAATGGTATTGTATGGTAAAGATTCTTTGAATTTTTGTTTGAATTCTGATTTATTTAGGTGTTTCGAAGGAGAAGCGGATATAAACGTTTACAGAGGTGTACCGAAATGACAAAAAAGCATATAATGTCAAATTATGTCTAAACCTAAAAAATAATTTGATGAACAAATGAACTCGGAAGTGTTTAAATACGTAATGTTAGTTTTATTCTGTGAAAATAAAATAAAAATCTGTCAAGCAGTTCAACAATATAGCGGATTCAATAGTGGGACGGTATCGGACGACCGAAATAAAGGACAGACGGACAAACATTAACATCACTATATTAAACCCGGTTAAAAATGCGGGGTGTGAAAGTGCTACGGCATATATTCATAAAATAATTATTCAAGACTCAGAATCGCTATTGACTGGTAAAGATTAGTTCTCCATCTTACAACTAACTGTATTCGACGTATTTATTAAATCAATGCTGTTAAGTCTTAGTTGGTAACCTTATTGTACCCAATACATTTGCATATAATAAAAGGAGGTGTTGCATGATTGCCAATGAGAAAATTGTCTAATAAAGTTCAAATGAAGTGGATGAAACCAATTATAGGCAACCGTGCGGCCTTCAACAATGAGAAAAACCCATATGGACCGTATAGTCGGCTATAAAATGCCCCGACATGAAAAATATGAAACAATTCGAGTCAATTGAGAAAAACTAACGGCATAATTTATAACAAAACAATTTACGAAAAAAAAACATGACAGACATGAACCAACGACAACCACTGAACTAAAGGCTCCTGACTTGGGACAGGCACATATAGAATGAGGCGGGGTTAAAATAGTTTGAAGGCGCCAAACCCTCTCATAACCTGGGACAGTGGTGTAACAGTACAACATAAGAACAAACTATAAAAATCAGTTGAAAAGGGCTTAACTCATCAGATCGATACAAAGAAGAAAACACTTAACGAAAACACAGACCGGACGTGGCAGTGTATTTATACATCCCACTACAAAAAAGACACCAAGTAAAAATCTGAGAGTACTCGCAGTTACTGACAGCAAATTCAAAGCCAATAACAACTTATAAAAAATCATATATCTAAGACTAAAATATCAGTCAGTACACATCCAACGTCCAATGGATTTATTGTAAAGACGTCATTAACTGTCAGAGAAAAACATGACATTGTGCAATAGCAAAATATAGGTATCGACAGATTGTAGTACCGTAAATGTGCATATGTGTTTAACAATGATACTAAATATGTGTTGAGTTTACTGATAACAAAATCAATATTTATACCAATAAAAACAATATTCAAAGATCTAATTACAGTGTTGAATTGGTAGCCTTTTAGGATAAGTTTATTAAATGATTGATAAGATTACCCGGATCGTATCTAAATTTTCGGTCTCGGTAAACAACATTCCCGTAAAAATTTAGATGTGCTATTCCGTTTGAAATAAGTTTTCTACAGGTACAGCCAAACTTGCAAACCAAATCTTTGTATCTAAGGAAGAATTTAGTAAAGGTTTTAAGTAATTTGTGGTAACGGAATCCCCTGACTTAATAATAATATATAGACAAATAGTCAATTTTAGCCATGAAAAACCATATTACTAAATTGTGAATATCCTATTTTTAATCTTTTTAATATGAAAACACCGAGGTGAACGGTATATGTCAATTGGTCAGCAACCAAACGACACAAATAACCAGAAGACATATAAGGTCCAAAACAAAGTCTTCAGCAATAAACATGTGTCTATACCATTTGACTGCCCCATATGTCTTGTGGTAGTTACTCCCTCTCGAGTGCGGGATGTTTTTGGTTCGATCCCCAGCCAGGTCAAACCAAACACTTGCAATTTGGCAATTACTGCTTCTCCGCTAAGTTTGCGGCATGTAGCACTTAGAGGAAAGACTTGGTCGGCTCATAGTCAGAAACATGTATCCTGCTAAGGTAAAATATCTTCCTGTGAACTGTAGTTTATTTAACAAGCTCGTTAAAATCCGGATCAGTGTGTCGGCCAGTACAAAGCAATGTTTATATCCATATCACATAAACATGTTCCCGTCCACATATACAAGTAATATTTGCCGCTGGACGTTAAACATAGTCACAAAGTCATCTTCATGATCATTTATACAATACGTCAAGCTCTATAGTCTAAAAATCTGTTAATACATTAAACAGAGATTAAAAGATCTGCAATCCACACCAAATAACAAAATACATAAGGACAGCGACTCAAGAGGTTCCCTCTCTCTATCTAATCTCGGTCAGTAGACTCCAAAGTTACATAAAACATACAACAAAACCAATACAGAAAAGTGCTTTTAAAACACTACATTAACGATATAATAGATACCAAGAACAATTGCACGAACAAAACAATAATAAACAATACAGTATCAAAGATTGCTCGAGTCATTGAAACGAAGCTTAAAGTACTTAACCTGTATGTACTAGATACACCCATGAGGGCGTTAGCCCGATTTGGTGTATCTAATTTACACCAAGATATATTGTCAATGCAGAATGATAATTTTCCATAATTTAGGAGGGGGCCTTTCAGCGATTTGACCATATGTTATTGAAAGCATGATAAATGCAGGTTATCCAATTTTATTTAACAACATCTTGGTGTAAATATGAAATCGTGCCATTCTACGCTCTTATATATCGGTGGCTGTACTTCACAGTAGATCACATACAATACAGTCATACAGGAAGATACGATCTGGTGACTTGGTCAGAACAAATATGTACATATTGTCAATGCAATTGAAAATTTAGACTCGAGTCGACCTATAGATTGGCGAATTGATGTTCATCCTCAAAATACAAAACGCAATGATTAGACTTATAAATTATATCAATTAAGCGAAAAAAGAATTATGTAAAAGATAGTTGCTAAATTTATTAGCTTTTTAAATAATATTAACGCAAAAAGATGGACGTATACTGTGAATTTCATTTTTTTTTCAAATGTAAAAAGGACATGTTTACACCCAGACTGTTTGCAACCTCAGTTTCCCCATAGTCGGGCCTCATTCTACAAACTTTTGTCGCAGGAGAACTACAGAACTAGTTCTTCCCTGTTATAGTATAACAAAATGCTGTAATGAAATTGAATAGAAAAATGGGTCTTATTTTCGAAAAACAACAGATATAAAGTTTCGCAGGAGAGTGCAGTGATAGGCAACAATATGTTGATGATGGTTTAATTAGTACAAAAGAAATGCATTTATTTTTACATTGTCCTGTTAAGTTCAAAGGCAATTAGAATCAAATGTTCACTCTAGCGATCATGTTTTTAGGCCGATCGAAATTGAGAGCAATTTATAGAGGACCCTTCATACATCATTCCTGCTATGTTTAATTAAATTAGACATGTGTTTCAGAGAAGAAGATGCGATAAGTTTACCGACGACGACGCACGCCAAGTGAAGGCCTTTCAGGCCTTTCAGCCCAGGTGAGCTGTAAATACAGAAATTTTCATTAAAGACTAAATTAGTCTTTTCAAGTCTGATATATATATTAGTTTAGAAGTTTCAGAGAAGAAAATAATATGTAAGTAATTTCCAGTTGGTATCAATCCGAACCTTTATGGCATTATCGCCGATATATATACAACCCAATAAGCAAGAAACTTTATAATTAACAGTAGATGTAGGGTATAAATCAATGAAACACCATTCCAAATTATAAAAATAACTAAAATACATTTACATTGGACGTAATTTTAAAACTTTAAATCTGTAAATATGCTAGATATACTTACTGGAGGTGTGATGAGATGATTGAAGCTGCAAATGATCTCCTTGAGAACATTTATGTACGTTTTGGCAATAAAGTTTATCGACAGGTTGTAGGGATTCATATGGACACCTATTGTGTCCTTTAAATAGCAGACTTGTGTTATGAATCACAGTTTATGGCAATACTCAGTAAAGACCCGATAAATTCAACAACACTTACCATTATCTTGGTGATATTTTTTCGATATATAATCAATCATTCTCTAAATATACTGCCGAAATTTACCCAAAGGAACTTACTTTAAATAAATCAAATATTAACAGCAATAACTGTCCTTTCCTAGATTTAGATATTTCAGTTATGAACTCTACACAAAAATTAATGACAAAAGGGACGATTCTTCTTTCCTTATTGTTAATCTCCCTTTTTTGGAAGGTGATGTTCCTTTGGCACCGTCTTCCGGTGTTTATATACTAGTATCCAACTCGTTCGCTATGCCCGTGTCTGTAGTGACGTTTTGGACGGTATCGTTAACTAACTCGTTATAACGACTAAGATAACTCGTTTAGTACACTTCTTGACTCTACCTGTAGAAAACTTATTTCAAACGGGATAGCACAACCTAAATTTGACTGTGATCTTATTTACCGAGCCCGGAAATTTAGATATGATCTGAGTAAACTTATCGATCCTTTTTCTAAAAGGTTACCAAATCAACACTGTAATTACCCTTTGAGTATTGTTTTTATTGGCATAAATATTGATTTTGTTATCAGTTAATTAAAATCATACTAAATATTATTGATATACACATATACATATTCACGGTTCTACAATCTGTCGATACCAATATTTTGGCATTGCACCAGGTCATGTTTTTTCTCTGACTGTTAATGACGTCTTTACAATAAATCCATTGGACGTTGGATGTGTACTGATTGATATTTTTGTCTGAGATACATGATTTTTTTATTAGTGGTTATTGGCTTAGAACAAGCCGTCAGTAACTGCGAGTACTCTCAGATCTGTACTTTTTGTTATTATGTCACCCCAAACGGAGGTCGGGTGACATATTGTTATTGTACGATTTTTTTTAATTATTATTATTCCACACTTTTTGTCCAGCTTAGTTCTCGGAATTGAACGGACCAATTTTGATGGAACTATATATAATAAAATAATGTTTACCACCAAGTGTAGTTGTGCACCTGACTTTGGAATTTCCAAAATGGCTGCCATTGCCATCGAAACAGCAAATATGTGAAAAAACGGAAAGTTCCAATTTGATTAAACATTATGGTTATGTTTCTTGTCATGTGTAGATGTGCCATCCATCTTTGGAATGTTCAATATGTTCACGGTTGCCATGGAAATAGCAAAAAAATAAAAATGCTCCAAACTGAATGAAACATTACAGAAATGTTAACTGGCATGTGTAGAGGTGCTTTTGACTTAGGAATTTTAACATGCCGTTACCATGACAATGGGCGGAACGGGGTGGCATCCGCTATTTCGTGTAATGGCAATTCTTGTTATTTTTCTGTTTGTATCGATCTGATGATTCCAGCTCTTTTCAACTGATTTTTATAGTTTGCTCTTATGTTGTACTGTTACACCACTGTCCCAGGTTAGGCGCCAGCAAACATGTTTAACCCCGCCACATTCAATATGTGCCCGTCTCAAGTCAGGAGCCTGTAATTGAGTGGTTGTCGTTTATTGCTGTTTCTCATATTCTTTTTTCATTTATTGTTTAGTAGTTTGTTCTTGTGTTACACCACTGTCCCAGGTTTAGGGGGAGGGTTGACGCCTTCAAACATGATTAACCCCGCCACATTCTGTATGTGCCTGTCCCGAGTCAGGAGCCTATAGCTCAGTGGTTGTCGTTGTTTTATGTCTGTCATATTTGTTGTTCGTAAATAATTTTGTGATGAATTAGTTCGATATGCACATCTACATAGTATGTCTTTATTATCTGCAAAGTTTTATGAAACTCTGTTGTGTGGTTTCAGATGAGTTGCGATGACAAACTGTTGCTGTAGTATATTTAGGCCAACATTCTAAGTTAAAAGGGACGTAACTCCCAGAAAAAAATTGAATCATAATTCCCTGTCGATATGCACATCTACATAGTATGTCCTTACTATCTGCAAAGTTTCAGGAAATTCTGTTGTGTGGTTTCAGAGGAGTTGCGATGACAAACTGTTGCAGTAGTATATTTAGGCCAGAATTCTAAGTTAAAAGGGGCATAACTCCCAGAAAAAAAATTGAATCATAATTCCCTGTCGATATGCACATCTACATAGTATGTCCTTACTATCTGCAAAGTTTCAGGAAATTCTGTTGTGTGGTTTCAGAGGAGTTGCGATGACAAGAACAGGACTGACGGACGGACAAACGGACGGACGGACGGACAGACGGACGGGTTAAAAACATTATACCCTACACAACTTCGTTGCGTGGGGTATAATAAACAATGTAGTCAAAAGTAAAATAACAAAAGGAAAAAATTCAAAACGTAAAGTCCTTTATCAAAAGGCTAAATCAAAAGCTCAAACACATCAAACGAATGGAAAATAACTGTTGTATTCCTGACTTGGTACAGGCTATCATCCAGTGAATGTCAAATCTTATTTATACGACTTTCTCAAATGTATTCAGTGAGTTGTTATACGATTACGTCTTCGAGGCAATAACAAGATAAACACGGACAATAATATTTTTACATAACAATTGACAAGATAGAACAACAAACATGGGAACGTAGGTGGGCAATAAAAATAGCAATACATTACTATAAAGTAGTATTTCAGTAAGCAGGTTTCACAGAACTAAAGACGAGACCAAGCTGTATTTACATACTACTGTAAGTATCAAGACTGAAATATTTGAATTAGCATCAATGTTTTAATGAAGTATAGAGACTGAAAAATTTGAATTAGCATCAATGTTTTGAATAAAAAGTATCGAGACTGAAATATTTGAATTAACATCAATGAAGTATCTAGACTGAAATATTAATGAAGTATCGAGACTGAAATATTTGAATTAACATCAATGTTTTGAATGAAGTATCAAACATCAATTCGCTTATTATTTCATGCTTAACTTTTTAGACTATGAAAAGGATCATTATTTGGGAAACGTACTTTAAAGAAACAACATGATAATGGTGTGGATATATTTTATACCAAAAAATTATGATAGAGGAATTTTACGGAAGGTTTCGAATAATCACAAAATTCATTTCACTTTTAAACCATAGATGTATTAACCTGTTTAAACAATATGCATTTAACTCGATCTCTTTGCTTCTGAACAGAATATGAATTGTTTTGTTTATCATACTTCACGTTATTGTTTAGTGTTTCTTAATTAAAGAGGGATGAATTGCCAAAGGGTCAATCAATCGTAATTCACACTTAATTTAATTTCAAAAATTAATGTAACAATACTTGAATCTGTTTACTATCTGAAGTATTGTAGCAACCTCCGATCACCTTCCCAAACTACTAACACTCTCCAGTTGCCTTCTGTTTGTCTATCTCATTAACCTGTTGGATTATCGCTTTTGATTATTCTCCTTGTAATTTATTTGTTTTAAGTACCGCGTGAGTTTTTTCCCTCTCGGCAGTAACAAACTAGACACGAATGCTCACATTGGACATTTTTGATTTGTGGATAAAACATTAACGAGGGCTATGAACAGCGTACTGATTGGTGGACATTTCATTGATCTCGTAGAAATGTCGATTTTAAAAATGAGTCACATGTGGTCGTTTGTCGGATTTTTTTATGCAGTTCTTAAATCCGGAGGGTCAAATTTGCCATTGAACTGTATTAGGTTGATGTGAAACAGTTTTTCTAATCTATAAAGCATGCGCGTATCCCTCCTTCCCCAACAAAAAAAAGTATTGCTTGACAGAATGGTTGGAATTACCTCTACCAAGTATATGATTTGAATGGCTGATGACTGGATATTCTAAATTATTCACATGGCCAATGAAGCGTTCTAACTGACGGCAATTTGATTTTTTCTAATTAAAAAGATTGCAATACAGTTCACTCGCAGGTAGAAAGAATAATAACTGGCCCTTAAAGGGTTCGGCATAATTGACATCATTCGTATGTAAATATCTTTCCATTCTCAAAAATTGAATACATTAAGACATGAAAATACCCTTTCCATCATCTATATGTTAGATAATACACATCAATTATGACTATTGGACCTGAAAAGGAGGGTTATTATATGTTTCATGTTCAAGATTTGGACGACAAAACAAAGAAGAACCAAATATTATCGTGTATATTTTTAACAGAAAAATGTTGTGGATTTCTGAAAAAAATATGTGTGCGTTAATGAAGTAACCCCACCTAAAATCTAACAATAAGGTTAACAAAAATACCGAAACCTCCATTCAGGATACATTTTGTTATATCCATATCCTTGTTAAACGTCATTCCGAAACAGAAATTGAGCATGGTATATATAAATTAGCATTAAGATAAATTAAAGATCGCCCCTGTTATTTACGTAGACAATGTACTTATATGATAGGTAGTCTTATTCTTACTCGGATTCCGAGTTCGACAGTTATTGTAAATCTTTATTTATCAATATCATTGCTATTATCATTATTATCATTTCTTTTCAGGCTTATACAAGATGAATGTTCGATGCATCCTCGTTATTTTGCTCCTCATTTCAGCAAGCCATCATGTTGAATCACAGAATTTTGGACCGTTTTTAGGAGGACTAGTTTTTGGTGGTTTGTTGAACCGATTTTCAGCTCCGCCACCACCACCATTTTACACACCAACTTTCTACTACCCACAGTTTCAATCTGGATTTGGTCGATTTGGATAGATAACTAAATTAAGACTGTTTATCAGTGCTGTAAGTCTATTAATCATTATTTACTTTAATATAATTGCCATTGTTGCTGATATATGTTTTTCGTAGGCTTACGAATTAAAAATATCCCGGCCCACGATTCACGTTTATTTTTCAAAAAATATTGCTGAGCAAAACCCAGATTTTATTGAGATACATCCAATGCATATATATAGAAGAATGATATATATAATTATTTTTGCTGTAGAACGACTTTTGTATGGAAGACAGAAAAGAAATAATTTGTAAAGTTTACATAGCAAGTCAAACATCAAAAGAAACGATTGCATGAATGATTTTTGTCGAGCCTGCGACTTTTGTCGCAGAAAGCTCGACATAGGGATAGTGATCCGGCGGCGGCGGCGGCGGCGGCGGCGGCGGGGTTAGCTAACTTCATAAAAGCTTTATATTTCAGAAGGTTGAAGACCTGGATGCTTCATACTTTGTATATAGATGCCTTATGTTATGAAGTTTCCGTCTGTCACATGTCCATTATCCTTGACCTTATTTTCATGGTTCAGTGACTACTTGAAAAAAAGTTCAGATTTTTTGTAATGTTAATTTCTCTCTTATTATGAGTAATAAGATAACTAAATTTGATATGTGCGTACCTTGCAAGGTCCTCATGTCCGTCAGACAGTTTTCACTTGACCTCGACCTCATTTCAAGGATCAGGGAACAAGGTTAAGTTTTTGTAGTCAAGTCCATATCTCAGATACTATATAAGCAATAGGTCTACTATATTTGGTGTATGTAAGGATTGTAAGGTGTACATGTCCAACTGGCAGGTGTCATCTGACTTTGACTACATTTTCATGGTTCAGTGGTTATAGTTAAGTTTTAGGTGAACTATATTTGTTGTATGAAAATATTTTACAATGTACATGTCAGTCTGGCATGTTTTATTTGACCTTGACCTCATTTTTATGGTTCATTGCTCAGTGTTAAGTTTTTGTTTTTTGGTCTGTTTTTCTAATACTTTAAGCAATAGGTCAACTATATTTGGTGTATGGAATGATTGTAAGGTGTATATGTCGGTTTAGCAATTATCATCTGACCATGACCTCATTTTCATTGTTCATTGGCCAATCTTAAGTTTTCCTGGTTTAGTTTGTTTCTTAGATACTATATGCAAAAGGTCAACTATATTTAAAGCATGTAAAGATTGTAAGGTGTACATGTCTGTCTGGCAGGGTTCTTCTGACCTTGGCCTTATTTTCTTGGTTCATTGATCAATGTTAAGATTTCCCGGTTAAGTTTATTTCTTAGATGTGAAAAAGGTCATCTATATTTCAAGCATATTTGGTGTAAGGAATGATTGTAAGGTGTATATGTATTTCAAATTTGGTTTATCTGACCTTGACCTCATTTTCTTGGATCATGTTAAGTTTATGTGATAGTTGTAGTAAAGCTTTATATTTAGGACTATCAACATAATATCAATGGTTAGTAAAGAAGGCGAGATATTTCAGCGTGTGCACTCTTGTTATTGTTTTAAATTCCATTCTCTTTGTATTAAAAAAAAACATGTATACGTAATCGTTTGCTGAATTTAGGGAATATTAATGAAATAGCTTTCTTTATAGATAACAGAGAAAATTGTTTTAATTAAAATAAATGTCGGCTTTCTTTTGTATAAAATAACAAAAGTGTGTCATAACCTTTTTACTAGTGATATCTGGTATTGTTGTAGCATGCACTTTTAAAATATAGAAACATAGAAACATTTGGTAAGAAGCGAGGTTCATTTCAGAAATTACTTGAATGTATATCAAAATGATGATGATGGTGGTGATTATAATAATAACATAACAAACAAACAAACAAACAAATGCAAAAATATTGTATTCAAATAATGGAAATATTTGTATATTATTTTTTCCTCTTTTCAGGCATATGACATTGAGAAGAATCGATTTGTAAATGAAAATGTGAGAAAACAGAAAAACAATTGACATATTTTTACTTCTACAGTAACTGTTGTTTTCCTTTTTTTTTTTTTTATTCTGGATTTACTTAATAGTTTTTATTAGAAAAAAATCAGCGTGTGGTGATTAATTAATAAATACAGGTAAATAATAGCATAATGAAAACAATCTGTGTTATGCAGTATACTGATACATATACATTCTGCGCTCTGCACCCTTCTACAATGAAAATAACACTTTATTATTAGTTCCTACCTAAGCGCTTTTCTGTATTTACTTCCATCAGGAATGCTTAAAGCCTAAAATATTGAAAGTCATGGATGTATAAAAATTTGAAAATGTAAAGACCTATATGACTAAAAAAGACCTTAAAACAATAGCCTATTCCATCAAAGGTAAACTTTGCATGTACGATGATGTACTGAAGCAATGACTACTGAGCTGGTTATACTCTCGGTGACTAACAGTCCATCAGCAGAGGTATGGACCCATTGCAAGTAAATGAAAATAACACTTTATAATTTAGTTGTGTCCAAATCGCTTTTCTGGATTTACCTTCATCAGGAAGCACAATGTAAAAATTTGAAAGCCAAGAGGATGTATAAGTACTCGAAAACGTGACTGGGAGCTATATGATGAAACAGGATTTCGAAAGAATAGTCAAATTCATGTAAGGTAAACTTTGCCTGACAGAGTTGAAAATTTTGTTTCTTTAAGTTAGTAATTTCTAAATTCATGAACGGGAAATTAAAAAAAAAATGATATGCTAAAAATCATGTACCAATTAAGTGACTACTGAGTTGATGAGACACTCTGGGACTATCAGTCCAGCAGCCAAGATATCGACCCAGAGCTAGTAAATGAAAATACCCCTTTATAGATTAGTTGCGTATGAAACGTATTTCTGGATTTACCTTCATCGGGAATGCTCAAAGCCAAAAATTTGAAATCCACGGATGTATAAGTTCTTTAAAACAGTAGGAGCTATACAATCAAAAAGGGCATAGAAAACCAAATTCACTTAAGGTAAACTTTGCCTGAGGGAGTTGGAACCTTAGTTTCTTGATAATTTCTAAATTTATGAACGGGAATTTGAAAAAGGTACTAGTATGAAATAAATCATGTCAGTACCTATAAGCACCTGACTACTGAGCTTAGAATACCCTTTGAGAATACCAGTCCACCAACAGAGGTAAAGACCCAGAGCTAGTAAATAAAAATAACTCTTTATAAATTACTTGCTTCCGAAGCGCTTTTTCTGAATTTACCTTCTTCAGGGAGTTAAAAATTTGGAAGTCAAGATGATGTATAAGTACTCAAAAAACTTGATGAACCAAAAAAAAAAGAATAGCCAAATCCATCTAAGCTAGTCAACTTTGCCTGAGGGATTTGTAACCTTACTTTCTTAATAATGTAATTTATGAGCGGAGAATTTAAAATCATTCGTTTGTTTGTTTATTATTATTATCATACCCTATATATATATAGAGTGCATTTCTTTCTAGCACAAACGATGCAAACGGCTAAGCGCGCACATGTTTTGATCATTTGTTTCTAACTTACGTTTGCAAAGTTTACATAAACTTTGACAAACTATGCACTCGCTAGAAATGCGTCTACAGTTTGTCGTTCATCGTTTGTTAGTACAAACGCTACATTTGTTTCTAACTTCAACCTTGAATTTTAGTAAAATTATAAGAAAACATTGAAACAATCTGCAAAAAGACAAACATGGCAGTGAAATCTTCATCCTAGTGTCTATCATAGCGCATGAACGTAACAAAAGTATAAAAGAACAATTTGCTTAATCAAGGCAATAGTTGGGAGACTTTTTAAAAGGGACCAATGCTTAAACAGTATACGCAAAAAAATCCCGAAACACTGTTAGTAATAATCTTAATTATAGGCAACAAACTTTCATACACATGAAATAGAAAAAAAAAACGGTGCAAAGTGTTGAGATTTATTACGTATGTTGGTTTGAAAGAACCGCATTTAATTATAATCGCGTAATAAGTCTGTTTACCAACAACATGTGCATGCATTATTGAAAGTTCAAACAAGGTCATTAAACACTGATTAAACGATGCATTTGTTTCTACTTTTGTAACGTTTAGCAAACGACAACAAACGCCACACAACGTTTACAAAATTAAGGTTAGAAAGAAATGCACTCATATTCTACGTTGTACAATATCATTCAGTATTTATGTATTCTGTATTGAAAAGAATTGTAAGTATTATTACATACATATCAACTGCGGTGTATTGAATTGTAGTATGCACTATTACTACATACATATCTATATCCGACATTGTACACCATGTATCAGTATTACAGAACAACACGGAAACCGTAGCTGGTTTGTATAAAATTTGTTATTAGGACATATTTCGTACGGAAGCTAAACCGTTTTCTTCCTGTTTACTTACTTTTCCGATCTTAACCACAATACCGTCCTCCCTCTTCTTTTACCTTATGCAACTTATCGGAATTTTATTATTGTTATGAGCAACATGAATGGTGAAGTGGAACAGAAACTTCTTACACTAACCTTATAGTTCCCCGGGTATTGCAGTGATCTTGTTCCTCAATCTTTAGTTTTCTTTGTAGTTTTTTGTGGTCTGTTGTTTTTCTTTTCTTTTTTTTTTCATTTTGCTTAAGTTGATATCCTTCGAAGGATAACCCATGGAAGCGTTCCGCTTATTTCCAATGGTATCCTTTATGTGTATATCTCTTAGATTATATAATTAAAAGGAAGCATGGCATACATAATTAATCATATTAATAACAAAGATACCCATAGTTTTCAGATGTTGTTTTACTGTAGCTTTGAATGCGTCGTGGTCTGTATAAACATATTATTTTGAAGTGCATTCAATCTTTTAATATCATAAAGAAAAAGATGTAGATTCAACTTTTTAAAAACTTTTGGCACAACACATAAATTGCCCTGAACTAGTTATATCCGTGGTATTCGTCGGCATTTCTAAAACTGTTTTTAATATATGCGGGACACTTGTTGGAGTCGATTTTATGAGCGTGTCCTAATCTTAACTGCTTCACTCTATGTTAAATGCTTTAGAATGCCAATACTTTCTGATTGGAGAACACTGTTATGGAATCAATCTATGTTAAGAATTGTCTGGTAGTTTCAGATAAGAAAAACTAACAATTACTCTAGGTGCTCAACAGTGGCAGAAACAGTCTTAGGTTAGGGGGAGGGTTTGGCGCCCGCAAACATTATTAACCCAACCACATACTGTATGTGCCTGCATGCCCAAAGTCAGGAGCCTGTAATTCTGTGGTTGTCGTTTGTTGCTGTATATCATATTTGTTTTTCGTTTATTGTTCTGTACATAAATCAGGCCGTTAGCTTTCTTGTTTGAATTGTTTATGCATTTGTCATTTCGGAGCCTTTTATAGCTTGTTATGCTGTATGGGTTTTGATCATTGTTGAAGGCCGTACGTTGACCTATAGTTGCTAACTTCTCATTTGGTCTCTGGTGGAGTGTTGTCTCATTGGCAATCATACTATATCTTATTTTTATATTGGTCCCTCAAAGGAATTTTCACAAAAGGGGAGGGGTTTGAGCATTCAGAACTTTTTACACTGAAATTACTTTAAAGCTTGAACTAGTACATAATTAAGCCCCAGCTGTAAAGAGAGAGCGTCTGACAAAAGTGTTTAATAAAAATAAGAACATCATTTAAAAAATTATGGGGCTGAATAATACCTGTGAAAGAATATCATTGCTCTGTTTCATACATCGCCTGAATACGTACATGTAGACACTACCTCATAGCTGCTTTTCCTGCTTTATCACAGATAGCCAGAATTTTTATACACACAAAAAAAAACAGGCTCACAAGGGAAAATTTATTAAAAAAAATTGACCTTTAAAAATCTTTGAAAGTGTAGCAATAATACTATGTTTCTTTCATATTATTCATATGAAGAAACTATATGAAAAAATAAGTTGAAATCCAAAATTGGAGTATTAAATCATTTTGATAGTATAGACAAGAAAGTTGATAGATGTAGCGGTTTTGTAAAAAGATAAAAAGACCTTTCTCACATTTCATGGCGTAACGTTTGAAAACATATATAAAAAAATCTACCACAAAATGACCCCATTTTAAAGTTATATATTTTAATATTGTTTAATTGGGAAAATAGTACAATTCGTTCCGTTGGTTGATAAAGTCTAACGTTTATTTTGTCAGTCTTTATAGCCTCCCCCATTTTTTGTTTTTACCGCCCCGACCCGATGCTCATTGGCGTGTGTGGCTGTTTACGACACGTGTTTCCGGAAAAAATCTTCATCAGACCAAAAATTATAAAACAACGAAGTTTGTGTTAAAATTTATTAATTTTATCTTGTTTTGTTACATGAATATGATGTTAGCTTCTCCATGGAACCATTTCTTTGTGTATGTGTTTATAGTTGACGCATCTGTCTTCGCCTCTGTTTATAAACGTAAACACTACAATATAACATATATAATTCATAAACATAAGTCCCTATTTTTTCAATAAGTTTTTACACGAAAGACAATATGAATTATATATATATTTACGTTTGTGTGGTCAGTATGTTTTCAAGCTATATTAATGTATCTTATAATCGATTAAAGGGGCCTCGGTGGCCGAGTGGTCTAATAAAGAAAAAAAATAGTCTTACTACTGTATCACTAGCCTGTCAACTCTGAGGTTGTGAGTTCGAATCTTGCAAGTGGTTGGTACGCTCGACTTTAATCTTAATTGACTAGGATTGTCAGTTTTCCTACCGAAGGTCGGTGGTTCTCTCCGGGTGCTCCGGCTTCCTCCACCAATAAAAACTGACCGCCACGAAATAGCACAATAGTGTTGAAAGTGGCGTTAAACACCAAATAATCAATCAATCAATAATTGATTAAAGACTACATGTTTATCGAAGCAACTGCGTTAAAACGAAAATCAGGAATGGAAAATCCAGGAGGCAGGAAAACAGAAAATTAGATTAAAACGACCTTCTCAAAAGTACGATTCACGGATATAAAAATGAACCAAACTAACAGGTGCAATATTAACAATCCTTTTTATTTAATATAACAGTTAAGACTATGATAGCGACAAACGAAACAAAGTAACATCAACACACGGCGTCATTTAATCAAAGTACTGAAGTACTGAACATCGGATGACCGCAAGTTCTGGTGGATAGTCACAGGCACTTGTCTAAGAAAAAATAAAAATATCTCTATACCTGAAAGTTAGGTTAAGGTACATAAATTTTTTTTTATTCTGAGACAAGTTCCTGTGTGGATGATGAATAAATGACAGAGAATTCAACATCACCGTAATAATTATTATATTGTTGTGATATAATCATGGGACAATCATTTGTTATCAGTATAATCTGGTTTGTTGTTATATATTATATTAATATTTGTACAACAGTTATATATATAGCAGATCATCTTAATAACTCTACCGGCAAATTTTCATCCATTTATACCATCATTCTATTCTACTATTCTAATGATAGTGCAGTGCAAGTGCATGGTGAACACTCTTCTGTAATAATTCGTTTTTCTAATAGGTTTAATTTGAGTAGGCATTCATATTTCTCCCGCTAATGAATATGTATTGATGAAATTAATATGTAACAAGCGATAAGAGATATTCACCCACAAATCCGCAAACACAATTTTTCGGTACGTGTGCATAGATATTATATATATATATTTCTCACGACAAAACATTTTCATATTATTTATTTATGTACATAAAAAATATTTTCATGAGTATTCATTTATATATATTTCTCACGACAAAACATTTTCATATTATTTATTTATGTACATAAAAAATATTTTCATGAGTATTCATTGAAGAAATGAATTTATAACAAGCGATAAGAAATGTTATTTTGCACTCGATAATATCCGCGTATTTATACGAAATACGTTCGGTTATCAGTCAAAAACGCAAGTCACGTGGGTAGAAATGTCTGCGGCAGCACAACACCGGAATGCCCTCAAGGTCATCCGCTGTAAAAACCACAGAATTTCCTTTGATTACAAAATAAGACCATATATCAAAAGTTTTTGAATTAATAACCACATAACTTCACACTTAAATCTAATATAAATAGTCTTTTATCATTATCAATTTGTCAGTTTTGAAATCATTCTCAGATTTTGAAACGCCTTTATATAGTACAGATGTTTACAGCATTTTTCATGGGGTAAATAAAACATGATTCAAAGAAATGTCCATATAAACCTAGCTTAGGGACAACAGTGTTCCGTTTTTACTAATAAAGAATTATGAAGTTCATTTGTAAATAAATGATGCATAACTTTCATTTTAAGTCGGGTTTTATCCTGCTTCTTGTTCTTTTCAATCATTTCAGCTCTTAAATGTTTATTTACAGTTTCAGATTCCCAAATATTTTGGCAAACTATCCACTCAGTACTAAAAATAAAAATAAGAAGATGTGGTATGATTACCAATGTGACAACTCTCCACAAGAGACCAAATGACACAGAAATTAACAACTATAGTTCACCGTACGGCCTTCAACAATAAAGCATGTTTTTGGTTGATGATTTAAAATATCCGTCAGAATCTTCAAATCGGAAAATCGTTTTGGAATCTGACTTACTCGATAAAATGCAAATTGGTGAACATTTGTTACAGAATCAGGATGCACATGTAAATGCATTACGTATATTAATTAAAGGAACAATACTTTGTGTTTCTCTCCATCTTGATGATTAATCACTGAAATGTCAAGTTAGGACTGAAGAACGAAAGAAAATATTTTAAGTTCGAAATAAGACAAATCAGGTATGTAACTGTGGTCTAATTTATTTCTTGGAATGCTTGGGGTTTTTAAAGAAACTCTTGGATTCATTTTTTTTCTTTGAATACGCCTAAACCAGAATAATTTTGTTCATGGTTTTGTAAAAGATAACATTTTATGTTGACCAATGCTGTGAATTATTATTTAATTTTTTTCTCTTTGGAATCAGAACATTTTTAACAATACCACTTGGGAACATGCATTCAAACTGCGTCTGAAAGAAGAAGCCGGGCTTCGTGGTACAAGTAATTGCACCTTAATTATAGCAATGGTGATATAAGATCATTATGTTTTATTTTTAGTCAAGTCGGTTGGCAGGCAGAAGCATCAGATTTAGATCACCTGGCCGAAGTGCCAGTGAGTGTGAGCTTTTGTCCTCACTTGGCGTCCGTCGTCTGTCATCGTCGTCCATTAACTTTTACAAAGATCTTCTCCTCTGAAACTACTGGCCCAAATTTAACCAAACTTGGCCACAATCCTCAATGGGGTATCTTGTTTAAAAAATGTCCCATGACCTCGCCTGCCGACAAACATGGTCGACATTGCAAAAAATAAAAAAATAGAACATATGGATAACATGCAATTGTTGTCTATTATCTTGAAAACTGCTATAGATATAGAACAAAAATGTACAGAATGATTGATTGATTGATTGTAAGTTGCTTAACGTCCAGTGGCAAATATTTCATGCATGTTCAGGACGAGAACAAATTAACAATAAATACAATAGGTAGGTGTTGTACTTGAAGCCATCCGGGATAGGGTCGGGAAAATTTCGACTGCCACTGGAAAATGAAGGTATATTGGATAGGGACAGAAATTTGGCCTTTCAACAGGCCACCTACGGACTCATCAGAGAGTTGTTGCAAGGGTTCTTAATGTGCAGAGAGCGTGGCATTCTCTCAATACGAGACATCTGATTGAACGTCCCATTCTGACCGGACGTGGATGCGTACTTGATACATCCCGCAAAGCCAAACGGACGCCCCACTTTGGCAAGGGTTCTTAACGTGCGGAGAGCGTGGCATTCTCTTCATACGAGACATCTGATTGAACGTCCCATTCTGACCGGACGTGGATGCGTACTTGATACATCCCGCAAAGCCAAACGGACGCCCCACTTTGGCAAGGGTTTTCCTGCCGGTCGGAAGAAGACCTGTAGTGACCATATTTCTATACCCCAGTCACCCTTTGGGAGTGTACAGAATGATGATATCTACGTAATATATACTGGCATCAAAACTGTCAGACGACTTCTTATAGGACTTATTGCCCTTAAACGACGGATCTTACTATTTTTTTCTTCACTTTGCCTATCATCTTCAAAATTATAATAGATAGACAGAAACTTGATATATCAAAAATGAACTGCGAGACAAGATCTACAAATAAGTCAACGTGATCGAAATTGTCAGTCACCACCTTATTGAAGTCATTGCCCTTTAATGATGATTTTTCCCCCATTTTTTCCCCATTTTTGTCTATTATCTTGGAAACAAATTGATAGATAGAAACTTTAAATTGTAAACATGATTAGCAAGACAAGATTCACAAATAAGCCATAGTTGCCGAAATTTTTAGTCGATTCGAAATCGAAGTCATTGCCCTTTTATTTACCTTTTTTTTTTTTTTAGCGTTTTATGCCTTTTATTTTAAAAACTATAATAGATCAATAGAAACTAAAAATGATCAGCAGGATAAGATCTACAAATACAACAACCTGACTGAAATTGTTAGTTAACACTTAATAGAGTTATTCCCCTTTAATGCTGATTTTAACTAAAAAGTGGTCATTGCTGAAGATGCAGGTACTCGACAAATGCTCTTTATAGTCTCTAGTTTAAACAAGATACCCCAATGATAATTTAGGTCAAGTTTGGTTCAAATTGGCCCAGTAGTTGCAGAGGAGAAAATTTTGTAAAAGTTAACAAACAACGACGACGACGGATACCAAGTGATGAAAATAACTCACTTGACCCTTTTGATAAAAAAAGAAATATAAGTCGTATAATTGTGGTAACTCAAAATCGAAAAGAAGAGTTTTCATGAACTTTTTTTTTCTTCAGCTAAATCTCAGTTTTCAGAGTTGGTTATTGAAACTTTGCGTCTAGCCGAAACAATATCAAGGAGCGGATCCAGCAATTGTGTAAGGGAGGGTTCCAGTGCGATTTTGACCCATTTTCAAAACAAAAATGTACAATAATAATTACGAAAAAAAAACACCACATGAGTTATTTGAACCAGGAAACAGTTGTCTTGGCATGTGAGGGAACCAGGTGAGGGTGCATTATACATAAACCGAAAAATTTACAAGATTTTATTATCAAACATGTACAAAACTTTATTTTTAACTTTTTTCATAAGGAGAAAAAAAGAAGAGGGTTTGGAAGAAAGGAGGAGAGGGGTGGGAGAAGACTACCCCGTCCTCTCCCTCCTTAGTATGGAAGGTATTATGTTCTGATTTTGAAGCACCCAATAAAATTGGGCGAACGTGTCAACTTAAAACTAAAGAAACACTTTTGCATTCAATTGGCTTTCATGATAACGGGGAAAAAACAGTTTTACTTCTGTTTACAGTAGTATATTCGTTTTGCATTCATAAGATTTTTTTTAAATATTATCGCATGAAAGATT